ATATATATATATATATATATAACAGCGGGCAGGTGGTGGTGCGAAGTGAAGGGGGGGAGGGCAGGGGAAGTAGATCAATAGTGCGTGTGTCTGCGAGGGAAGGGAGGGCACATACGGAGAAGAACAATAAAGCATCCCCCTAACCCTCCCCACGCAGACACTCACGTAAGAGAAAGAGATCGAAAACAAACAATCAAAAAACAAAAAAAAAAAAGAAGCATGAAAGAAAGAAAGAAGGAAAAAGAAACAAATGGTTGAAAATTAAATCTCCCTCCCCCAAATAAAACGTCTTGCCCTGTGTATGCAGGCATGCGTGCTTGCCGCCGCACTCCGCGGCCCCTCCTCCCTCCCCGTTTGGCGTGGGCGCAGCGACTGCCGCGTTGCTGCTGCCGCCGCCCCGCAGGCCACACCCCAACAACTCCCCTCAATTCGCCTATAAATAATTACATCGAGAATGATAATACATTCGNGGGGGGGGGGGGGAGGGAGGAGGAGATGGAGGAACCAGAAAAATAACAACAACCTAACAACAACGGCGCAAAAAGCAACAAACATAACCAAAAAGAAAAGGAGGGTTATTCATATTATAGAGTGCGACGGTACAGAAGTACAACACCCAGGAGGCGCAACTATCGCCTGTCGTTTCCCCGTCGACACTCCTCTCCTCTTCTCCCCCCCCCACACATACACACATACATTTATGTGCGTACGTGAGCATCAGTTAGTGCATAAATACATTACAATGTGCACAAAACAAAGACCCCCACAAAGAAACAAATCAAAAAAAAGGAAATAAAGTAAACCGTACGACACACACACACAAACACACATATATATATATATATATATATATATATGAGGCGGAGGAGTGGAGTCCATTCTACCCCCCGAACAAAAAATACAACAACTTGCAACACCCTGATCTTTCTGTTGCTTCCCGACCACCACCACCACCACCGCCGCCTTCTCCTCTTCCCTCGTGCGTGTGTCGACGGCATCTGCTTGTTTGCATTTCCCCCCTTCCACCCTCTTAAATTTTATTCGCTTGTGAGATGTGAACACCTGCGCGCGTTTCTTCACGCGTGCAGACGCTTTTTTTTTTTTT